TCGGTATCTTCCATCTGATATGAATAACTGAGAAGGTGGCACCTTGCGTTACAAACCCGAACGTTTAGACGGATAAACGTCCAATGAAGGGTAGTTTATAAAAATTGCACGCGCGTTGTTTCGGCAGAATTTGACGTTGCAGACGCGGCTAAACGGCCAAATGGAGCGGGCGATTAATTTTACATGGATTAACGAACAATGCTAGGCGGCTGCGTATCCGCAGCCATTCTTGTTTCCCGGGTTCATTGGATGGGCTACTGATCCTCCTCGCACGGGAAAGCCGATTAAATTCATCTCGATGAATTTTTCAGCACGCCCGTTGGAAAGGTTTGCCATTCGACGTTTGCTGTTTGAAAAAATCCAATCAAAAGAGCATATTAAACATTTTATTTCTACCCTCTGAATTTCCTTGAGATATTTCGAGGGCACTCGCGAGACCCTATACGGATTAAACTCGTGGAGTACACGATCGTCCTGTATAAAGAACAAAGAAGGGAAGATTGATCTTCGGAAGAGAACGAAGTTCACCTTTCACGGAGTCCCTTGGCCGAAAGTTCTGTTCATCGAATAAATAAAGGGCACGCTGGTACGCTGCAATTGGAGGTTACGCCGAAAGGAAGTGGTGCATTAATTTCGAGTTACCCTTCGAATTCCCTTCAACCCCTGTACGTGTGACCACCACAAGGGAACGGATCGCAGCGAGTAGCCAGTTACCCCGAGGTGTTCGGAACGGCTGGTAATTTGTAGGTAGATATACGATAGACAATAACACCGGTGAGGGGCGGGAACGCCGACTAATTTGTTTATCATAACTTTATCTTGATTTATTGCGCCCACGGTGCGCGCTCGTTTCGTAACGCCAGTCGCGCACGTTTCTACGCTCCCTTTGACGTATTTACACGCGCATGAATTAAAAGAAAAAAAAAAAGAAGGAAAGAAGAATCGCCAGGAAGAATTCGAGCAATCTCGTCGATTCTTCCACGGTCTCGTGGAAATCTAGATCGAACGTCAATCTTGTAACTCGACTACTGGAAAAATTCATTCATTGATTTAATTATTCATATGATCATAGTAGATTACTGTTGCAACATTTTTCGTTAGTGTGCTGCACGAAATTTGCACAGGGTATGAAAATAGAAACAGCAATTTTATGAATTAATCAGTTTCAATAAAATACACACTCCAGAATTCATAAAGAGAGAAAAAAAGATACCGAGAGCTCCTTTGCAAGATTACAAGATTACCTTGCTCCTCGGCAATTATATAGATTCCCCGATTGTTTCGTCGCGCGTAAATTAGCTCGCTGGGAAAAATGCAGTCACGAAGCGACGAGGCAGCGGCTGGAAGGCAACGGGACGAGATAAAAACCGTGGTCGCGACGAGTTCTCGTTCGCGTCGGGTAGCTAATTTTTTAAAGAGCACAGCGAAAGGAAAGGGGGTGTGAACAGGCGGAGCAACCCCCTTGGCTACGCTTTCTCCCTTTAGTTTTCCCTCTCTGACGGTCTTTCTTCGTGTTGCAGCTCGATCGGTGTGGCACGCAACCCGTTTGGAAGAGCTTCGTGGCCAGCTCGTATTTCTCGCCCTCCAACAAGATACCAACCACCTTCAACCCCATCCTCGGCCTCGTAGACTGACGCACACCGATGCAAACGGTCTAGATAACGTCTCGTACGTAGGTGGGTGTTTCAAGTTGGGGTAAAACCGGCCCGAATGACTAACGTGGCACACCCACCTACCGACGTGTTTTCGTACCGCTAGAAACCTATTCGGGACACCGGGTATCGTGGTACGTGTTCACCTACGGTCTTCTACAAGCCAACCGGGGACACCAATACCAGCGAAACGGTGAACCGGTGTATAAAACCAGACACGGTGCAAGCCCTGTAACGCTGCGAGTGCTATCTGGCCAACTATCGCTGATCCTTGGCGCGAGACGGGCCCACGGGGAACGGAGAAAGGAAAACAGGCGGAAAGGGTGGTCTACGAGAGTCACGGATAGCTTGAAATTCTACTTGCAATGGGAAACCTCCTGCGCATCCGTGAAATATTCCCGCGGAATCCTCGGTTCTTCGAAAAGTCACAGAAGGGTTTCAGGGTTTCAGAGTTTTTGACAATGATTCTACTTGAAAATATAATTTTATAAGGGTAGTTTTTTCAATGCAATTCAACTCAGGCGTTAAAGATGGAGAAATAAGGCGTTTGTTAGGGACAAGAATTATTGTGTCTTGCGATGAATCTCAGCACGAAACAAAGTGTCTGCTGGTGGAAAGTTTAGGGGATGGAGGAAAGGGCTGTGTCAACTCGAAGAAAACTTAGAACGTCCCGGAAGCGTTTCAACCCCCTTTCGGATACTTGGAATACTTGGGCTCGCGTGATCTTGCGATGGGAGACACTCTAACAAAGGTGCATACAACGAAGTCTTTTAAAATATTATACAACTTCTCTGTGTTTTACGGTCATCGGAGTAATCAGAAATAAGTACAATTAATTGCACTTATAAATATTGTATAAATATTGAAAGTACAGTCGTCTGAGGACGCTCGATAAATTTGTAATCTCGAGTAAAAGGTAAAGAATCTCGAGCACAACAGAAGCTTAACATCCGGTAAGGCCCAGGACTAGCGAGCCTCCTCAAATATTAGCGGAGGACCGCGGGGTCCCCTTTGAACTCGAATCCCCGAAAATTTCTATGGCGAATAATCGGAGACAGCTGGCACGATGCGAAATCAAGTAGCGTAATAATGCCTGCTCGCAGCATCCAGAGCGAGGGAAATAAAAAAGAAGGAGAAAAGAGGAAAACGTGGAGGCTCCCTTGGATTCGAGATTCTCCGCCGTTTCATCCCCCTCTTCGACGTCTTACCTCAAATATTTACGGTGGAAAAATATTGGTGAGCTACCGTTTCGTTTCGAAATCGACATGAATTTTCATTTCCTTAAAAAGAGCTGGCCAATCAGAAACATTATAAAATGATCAATTAAAAAGATCCATATTTTTGCTTGTTTTACGGCACGATATCTTATTGTTCGATCGTCTCCGTGAAACCGGAACGACTTCCTTCTTCAGCACGATGGAGTAATGAAAATTTTTGATGAGTTCTCATTTAAAAATATTCGACGTTTAGCTAGAACGATTGCCGATGGGCAGCTCTCGTAAATCGACTAATAAAGCGATATCTTGGCCATTGGTAGTATACGCGATCGAATCTCCGGCGATTAACACGGTCGTGTAGCCGCGTTTCGACACCGGCCTCTCGCAAATAAATGACGCACCGCACGACCGTGATGGGTATGCTAATCGCGTGGGCCCGCTGTAAAATTTGTTCGTCAGCTGCGCTCGTTTGGACGATCAGCAACAAATTCGACGTTAACGAATGAAATTAACCTCGCTCTCTGTGATACCGCGATCAATTCGTCTGCAATTTCGATAAGCATCGCAATTAGCGGAGAAACGAGAATGCTTTCGTTTCGGAATCATTCAATTTTCGTTCGGCGATTTAACAAACGTGATATTTTATTTTTAAAAAATAAACTCCAGGAAACTTGTGAACGAAGGAAATATAATCCATTCGCAGGAAGAGGCGCTGCGCGAATGAAAAGGGAGTAAAAAGGAAAAGAGAAAAGTGACGGAAGCAGCCTGGTATCGGGCAGTTTATCCCGCGGGAGGAGCTACGATACAATGAATAAAGAACGAAGCAGCTTGGTCGAGCGAGGCCTGTGAACGAGGCCTTATTGGGATATTAATCGTCGTACCAGGCGAACGCCCTGTCCCCGAGTGTTTGCACGAGGTTTGAAGAGGCTGCAACACCAAAGCTGCCTTGCAGCGAAACCCTCTCCGTAAAATCCCTCCCCACACCCCTCCTTTTAAGCGCAACGAAACACTAGAAGAACCCCTTCTCTAACCCCTCCAACGTGTTCCTCTTTTCCAAGCCGTGATACTCGAAAAGCCTAAGCACTACCACGCTCGAATACTGTTCGGATACTTCGGACACACTCGAGCCAAACCACTTAGGTAACTAGCGTATATACACGTACGATGTAGGTAGGCAGCCTTGATAGGCGCGTTGCACGAATGCTTCGAAATAATGGCCCCGTCGATAGGCACGCTGTTTATAAAACATCAACGGGCCGAGCTAATTGTTCGCTAATTTCCAGTGCCACTTGTACGCTCGTTTCACCATTAAAATGCGTCAGGGTACACGTCGTACGAGGGATCAAACTTTTACATATGTCGCTCTCTCCCTGCGATACATGTTACGACAGGGATGTTTAGAAAACGTTTCGATAATCGTCTTTGATCTCGACCGACCTCACCGCGGTCCGTCGCTACAATACTGATCCTGGTTGAGAATGGAAATGGAGCACGCTTTTCTTTCCTTCTTTCTTGGAAATGTTCGATTTTGTTGCTCGAATTCACATGGTGCATTTTTGAAATGATTTTCAGGTTTAAAGTTCAATAAGGTTGATTATCTAATCTTTTTATTAATGTTAATACAAAATGTCTGAATGCTCTTTTGAGGCACAATTATTGTTATCGAAGGTTTATAATTAAATTAGTCATTTCATCTGCAATAAACTGAGAAGTGTCTTTTCGTCTCGTTAAACAACCCGGGTCATCGCTAATTAATATAATATAAAATATGGCGAAGGAAGCATGGAAATTCGAGACGAAATTTGTGTTTCGCGACCGCGATACTTGCATTACACCTAGTTTGCGAGGGTATTCGAACGCGACGGGTGTTTTAATCCGTTTAGTTATCAGACTGCGGAGAAGCCGCTTCTCCGTTTCATCCGCTCATAAAATCTGGCTAATTGTGCCAAGTCGTTCATCTCGTAATTCTCCTCTACTGTTGAATCTTCAAACACGCGGGTGAATCTACTAATTTTCACCAATGAAGCTAAATAGAATCTCGATAAATGAATTTCCCAAATCAAATTTAACAAATTCCCTTTCAAGAAAATCTGTAATAAACAAGGATTTATTTTACAAATGAAATACTTACGAAGCTCGTGAGAATGTTGCAGCAGCTCGTTCGAACGATCAACCCCCTGATCTGATCTCGGCCTTCCAATTAAATCCTAAACACTTTCACCAAGCCCAGTTAACGACAGAGTTCAAGTCTCGCGAGGACTCTACTTGATCCTGCAGTTTGTTCGACTAACGCGACCTAGCAGCATCAGGAGCAGTATCGTCTTCACTGGTTCGAGGAGGCTTCTTCGATCTTCATAACGATACGCGACGGCCATCGACAGGTCGGCAACCACTTCCAGAAAGTCTCTCGGATCGGCCGTCGACATTATCGAAAACAGCATATCAGTCCTGTCGCTTCGATCCTCCGCGATTCGCCATTGATGCTTGACACACTGAACGTTTTAACGAATTGATACTTCCTCCTCCTCTGCCAGCTTCACCCTCATCACGTCAAACTGAATCCTTCAGGATATCGAAAATTTCTCATTTAAAACTGTAAGTCTTATTCTTCATTCTAATCAAGATTCGTCAACGCGTTAGAGAGGTCTTAGAGTATCTTGGTCCACCAATAGTCAGCCATTATGTTCGCACCGTTAGATCTAAGATCTATCAATGATTATTCAGAAAATTCATCACTTTCTTCTACGATGCTTGATCTTTATTAAACAACACTGTCAGTCGAACGCACAGATGAAATGTTCACGTATTTTATAGTAGGATGTCGTTCTAACTTTATTTATCTTGCGAATTCTAACACACGATCACCGGGAGGTGGTCCTCCATGAAATCGTGACGATTTCGTGGCAGGGTACGTTAAATCGTAGCAGGATGATCGACGGTGATCACGAACGATCCGTTGTCCGTTGGAGGCGCCGTTTGCCGCTGCTGACGTGTGTGCGGTGGCTGCTGGCGAGACCCAACGAAGGTTCCAGCTGCAGGCAGAAGGGTGAAGGGAGGTCACGAGTTGTAGGTAGCAGCAACCACCAATGGGGCGGTACCAGGGGCGGAGCAAAGAGCAAGCTAAAAACACGCCCATCTAGTTACACGATCATAGGCTGCAACACCCCAAGGAGAACGCTTTATCCCTGTCCATCTCTGTCACCTTCTATCGTTCGTCTTTTTCCTCCGTGCAGCCTGGCCACCTTCTTTTCTACCCTGCTTTTTTTTTTATCCCTCATTCAATTGGGACGAAGGCGACACGGAGAGCGCGGCGACGTTAAAAGTGCAGGCGAAAGTTCCTTCCGAGTGTTCGACACTTTTCATCGATCCTCTTCCTTTTTTCGTTACCACCGGATTAAGGATCGACGAATTTCGTCACCCTGGATTTTCCTTTGAAAAGGATCGAACGAATGATTCTTTTGATACCAATGATTCGCCTGGCTGCTGCTACCTTTCAAAGGTATTACCGATGGAATCGTAAGACTTTTGGAACAGAGGTATAAATGAAATTTTTAGTGTTTAAAAGCTTCTAGATCTCGGTATAAATATACCTAACTCGATTAACAAGACAAACAGCAAACAGCTTCCAGGAAAATGCAAGATCTTTTTTCGCTTCCTCTATGAATCATGGGCATCGAGCAGACCGCGTTAACGAGGACCAGTGTGCGTTTTTATTAAAAACAATATTTGCTTAAAAATATCCGGCGAACGGTGAAAGCTGGCGGTGAAATGCATTGAAAAGATTTCCGTGACGATGCGAAGGGTGAGTTGCATCGAGCTTTCAACGGGGGTTAGCGAAGTGAGAGAGGGAGAGAGGGAGATAGAGAAAGGATCGTGGGGTCGACGAATGAGCCAACGAATGAATACCGAGTATGGATTCGTGAGGAGCCAATAGGGGTGCACGATGTCCTCCCTGGTTCGAGGGAGCCACGCCAATCGGGGACGTCCGTCACCCTCTGGGCTTTTCCTGAGGGGTGGCAATGGTAGAGACGCGTAGCCGGGCTTCGAGGGGTTTCTACCTGGGCTGGCTGATAAAGACAGACAAACCTCTGTCTTCCGTGGCGGATCATGCCAAGCTTTGCCAGGCAGACGACCTCGTAGCAACCACACCTCCACCTTTGCATCCACTTTCATTCACTTACAACCACTTTCTAGCGACGCCAATGCTCCGACGCCTTTTCTTAGATTACGCGCCTGTTTCCTACCCTTCCACCACGTCCACTGTGATTAACGGATTATGGAGCTCGGTGCTGAATGCAAGGGTGGAAATACGCTTCTTCCGTACCGCGTTTCTCGCAGCACCGTTGGATCTTCGTGCCTTCGAACGATCCGAAGTATGTTGAAAATCAATTCTTTTCAAAAAAATCGACGTTGAACAGAAATTTCTGGTATTAACTTCTCGAACCTACGACCGTGGGTTTATTTGCAAATCTTACGTTCGATAGGGTTTTATCGGTGATTGAAGTGGTTAAGGGATATAAAGCTTAATTCGTTGTTTGCTTGGCGACGAGTTTGGTGTTGGCACACGTGCCGTGTCATGTGACGAACGTACGCGACGCAGTGTCATTAGCAAATACTCGAAAGATAAAGGAAAATTTAGATTCGAATATCCTCGTCACTGTTCGACGTGACAAAATATTGAAAGCGACGAATATTAAAATATTATGCTACAATATTAAAATAGAATGTATTTACCTATAATAATGTGTCTCCATTACGGTTTCGCGCTTCCCGGGGCAATCAATTTCAATTTCTCGTCCTTTGTATACTTTTATTGTTTGCCATCCGCGTCTATGCATGTCCACGTATATTTGCGTGCACGCCGAAAGAAACAGTCAGGCGTGTTCGCGAGTAATCTCGTTTCCGCTCGGTCCACGAAGTTGAACTAGCGAGCATTGGTCAGACATGGTTCTCCTCTTGTCCACATCTTGCCCGCTCTTCCCTTCCCTTCGTCCTTCTCTTTCCCGGGGTACTTGCGAAGGGTGGAGTTACCCCGGACAATATATCAGTTTACAATGATAAAAAGCAAACACGGGAAATAACGCGAGGAATTACTGAACCAAACAATATGTCCCTCGTCTCTAGAGAGACCGGGGTATGTTTCGACCGAGCAGCCTGGCAGCATCCGACGGAGGGTGTGCCAACACATTTTCCTTACAATACGCCGCGATTCCGCTTTATTTCGTGACCAGGCGATATTACCACCGGGGCGCCAAAAATGGACTCATTATCGCCGACCGAAAGGGGTTGCAGCTTGTCCGGTTAGCTCAATTATACTGGTCCAATTTTTTCATCCGGAGGTGTAGGGATTCCTGGGATAGGGAGGTTTAATGTCAACGAGAATTGAGAAATCGTACATGATTTATACATAACTAACTCTATCTTATAAATACACTGATAACAATGTTTTATTATTTAGTATTATATTAATTAGGCAAATTAGCAAATGAGAAACTTAAATTGTACATTGAAATTGTAGCATATCATATATTCTCGCCCTAAAACACCTTCCTCAAACGGCAATCGTCTTAAAACTTATCAGGATACTTAAACTAGCCGGCGCACTTGTAGGAGAAACAAAAGGCACACACGATTCCCTCGGAAATAGTGTAGCTCGTTTGAAAGGTAAGAGGCCATAGCGTCACGTTACCTGAAGGGATAGGAGGTACAGAAAGAGGATGACTAAAAATTGGTACCCTTTTGCTCGCGGGTGCCTCTTGGTGGGTAGTACTCATGTAAGCAGTGACTAGTGAGGTAAACTCGAGTGTCTGAGGGGTAAAGGGAGAGAACGGAGGGCTTAGGGTGAGGAGTGGCCGTCGCTAGTGGGTGTAAGGAAAGGAAGGGATAGTAGCAAACCGGGCTACGTTGCCCGAGGGGTGGAAAAGGGGTGGTTTTTCCTCGGTCTGAGCATTCCGTAGACGACATGCTCGCTTCGTCTTGGTTCGCATGCGGCCTCTACGTTTCCGTACACGCGTACGTATATCCTTCTCCCTTTTGCACCGATTCGAGCTGCCCTTCTCTTCACCCCTTTACTACCCCTCTGTCTCACTCTGCTACCCGTTCCTCGGTCGGTCTTCCTTCTTCCTTTATCTTTCTCCGTCTATCTGCGCCACGTACACGCGGGCCACCGGCAAGAAGTAGACAATTCACAATTAGCAAACACAAACAGAAGTACGAGTGGCTTCAAGTTGCTTGGGACGCGGTGGCAACGGGCTTAGCCGGAAGCAAACGGTGGGGTAGGGACTTCTGGGATGCGAAGCGACTAGCTTGGCAGTCCCTGAGCGTCAGCCTCCGCTCCAGAATACTCGTCTCAACTCCTGGCCCGACACAGACCGGCGAAGGCGCGTGTATGCTCTGTGGATAACGGGTGTGCCTATCGATATCCACGATTTCTCAAACATCCACGAATTTTCCGAGTGAAACTAAATAAATTTCAATGATTTTATTTATCCTTAGGCATGCCCTGGTCATTTAGACAATTTACAAAAATTGTACAGTCTCTGATCAGTGTCTTTTAAAAGGCATTAAAGGGTTTATAGCAGTAATTTTATTCGAGAACAAAGGTGTTGTATTTGAATACCTGTTAATTTTGTATCTGTCCTGAGAAGAGTTTAAGGCTTCTGTTGTATTCAACAGATCAATCGTACGATTGAACTGGACTCATTGAAACGTACACCCGGTATGTACGCGCATCGGGCTCTCACCGTTGCGTTGGAACACTTGAAGCCCCAACCAGTTACGGCAACAATAGGCTTTGTCTTCGCGCCGTCGGCGCTCGCAAATTGGTAGAAATCTTGATTAAAGGTGCAATTCCGCTGCTGCCTACGGACAAATATGAATTGCACCCCCAATGCTCCCATCCTCTCCTCCGCTCCTCAGCCCGTCTCTTTTTACCGTTCCGACAAATGAAAATGGAAAAAACGTGTTGTGCTATACTCCTTACGGCGCGACAAGTCTGCGGCTTTTTCGAGGATCAAGATTGGACCGTGTCTTTGAAACGAAACAGTGACACATTAAGGATATTATTGTCGGCAAACAAGAATTTCACTCTCCTTTCATTAATCCCTTGTCGTTACCTCGTTTTCACCTACATTAGAAAGATGCTGGTGTATTTATTGGCTGAACCGTATATCTCCATCACGGTGATTCGATTTCGTTCACGGTTCCGCATGATAATCCGATTGCGAGATTACACTAGGATTCGGATCGGCAGAGCATGATCCTGGCAATAGGGAGAGAAACAGCAAGACGCGTATAGAAATGGAATAATAACGCGTTGTGTATGACAGATGCGACAGGACCACTCGCGATAATCCGCCTTCGGTTTATCCCTTTGCAATAAACCCCAAGATCGATCGTGCGTGACCCATCGAAATTGCTCATTAATCTTTGCACAGATTCCTTTAACGTGGAAGAAGCGTGTTTCTTCTTTTCTTTTTAAAAATATACAGAGTTAAATACCGTGTTGGATTTCTGTACGTGTTTAGGTTTATTTTGATATGATACTTTTTCTCCCTTAAAATTTGACGATCAAGGGATCTTGATTTTACCCGATTGAAATACCCTGCACACGCATCAATAGACCCCGAAGGCTTCGACGTGTTCATGCTCATCCCGTGCAGAACACACATCACAAAATTGAGTCAATTTACATAACGATAGTTGAGACGTACATGAAAAGCCGTTCCTGGGTCACGGCGATACCGTCTGCAAACAAGCTTTGAGCTTCGAAAAGCCTCCATATTGCCATGTGTTCGTATACAAGCCGTGTAAAATTGGATATTGATCATTTAAAAAAACGAAGATGTGGAGAAACATTGCACTGAATATTGTACGTTTGTTATATGCTTCAAAAAATGCCTTACTCTTCCTAACTTGCTTCCAAGGATCTAATATACTTTATGTATAATATAATATTTTCGCATATAAATTAATTTAAGTGATAGAAAATATAGCACAATTCTCATTAGCATGTTTTCTAATTATGTATCAATTAGGGATTTGAAAATGATACCATCAGCACCACCTAAGAATGAACGACGAAAGTAATATACCAAAAATTGCACATGTACGTAAAATAAACAATTTTTGCATTATATTAGCATTACCAAAATATTCTGTAGCTTCTATGTAATTTAAATAATAGCCTGACAGTTAAATAAAAATGTTGAAATTGACTTACTATTTGTCGCATATGTCACATCCTGAAATACCAATCGATTAGAATTCTAATACAGCGCTATTAGTCACCGACGACAGACTGTCGGTATTATAGTGCACCAGTGGCTTTTAATTTTCATTATTACCACTACAAATGCTGTGATAGAATTCCAACCGCAATCGGTATAGTAGAATGTGATATAAGTAACAAACGGTAAGGAAGATGGCAGCATGATATCTTTGAGTTTCGAGCTCTACGTTGCCGTATCAAAGTAATCTGAGATCTGCCAGCGCGGACTCCAGATCCAACAAGACTGGAGGACATGCTTTTGTTTTCAAGCGGTTTCGAATTTGTTCCTTCAGAAAATATTCCTTCAACACCTAGAAGAAAATATAGTAGGATACTTACCTGAGTTTGCATACTGACATTATGGCATCCGGGGTGTCGGGGACCCCGATGTATCGATGGCGCTCTCTATATATCGACCTGATATCATCTAGGGGTGTGAGGAACCCCGGTGTCTACTTCTGTACACCGACCTAATATCATCTTGACCCCCTGTGGCTCGGGGGGCTTAGAATACGGCCACGGTATCCCCTGCCTGTCGTAAGAGGCGACTAAAAGGGGGATGGAAAGGAGCGAGTAAGATGAGTGGACTTAAAAGTACGGACAAGTATGAGTGGAATTAAAAGTACAGAAGCATATAGCATGAATAATGTAATTGAAAATGGCGCGATAATGCGCGTGGCCGATAACTTTTCATTGGGCAAAAAGGGACAAATCAAGTCCCTAGATTACGCCACCCTCAATAGAGGGAAACTTATGAAGTGAAGTGAAGTAATATCATCTTGGGGTGTCAGGAACCCCGAAGCATCAGCGTACCGACATATCATGGGTGATATCAGAGGCATGTCCAGTCTTTTGCCTCTGTAGTTACTGTACAATCAAATGGGCTCCTTAATACTGTTTAACCGACGTCTTCACGCGTAAGGTGGGTCAATATGGCAATAGGGGATAAGCGATTCTCATTTTTTATGCAGAATGTTTCAAGAAATCTACTAACATTAAAAGAAAATGTAGATTTCTAATTAAAGAAGTGAAAATGATCTTAAAATTTGTTTCAACCCTCCATACATGCAGAAAATATTTATAAAACATTGCATTCCTCTTCATAGAATGCAAATTTTTATACAACATTTTTTCATATTTTTACAAATAAAGAAAATATTAATAATGCACAAAATTATTGCTCCACCTCGTATGTAGGGTGCCTAAAAAATCATGGTGGGGAACGGAGGGGATTGATTTTTCTTAGAAAAAGAAATTGTAAATGTAGAATAACATTTAGTATCATCCAAATTAATAGAATAGACATCAGAGGCTTGCGCGGTCTGATTGTCGGTGGCGGTACGCAGTCGAAGCGGAGCGCAACTTCGGAAGCGCGTGCAGTGGGTGGGAGTTACAGCCCTCGTGAGTCAAGAGAGCGAAGAGTAACCGAAAGAACGGACTTCAACTCAGTCTGTCCGCGACCGTCCGTCAAGCATACGTCTACGACTCTTTGCCCCCTCCAATACCTTACCGTTCGTCAGTTGTGCTTTGCCATTTGTTTCTGTTCCACAGTGTCTTAAAAAGGTCTCGTGGAAGCCACATGTCGTCGATGCTCCCATCGCTACCGGCACCCTGACTGACCACCCCCGTCGTTCACGAACGATCGGTCCTACCTTCGATCACGATCGCGCGTATGACACTTGGTGCGTGGACAGTGTATCGAAACGACTGAACCAACGTGTGTGTGAAAAATGATAAAAAGACGTGGAAATATGTGGATCACGAATATGATCGTTGGCCTAATCGGCCTGATATTTTTTGTTGGATCACCATCCTGGTTTTCCGAAGCGTTCAACGTGGAGACGAGACATTACGCGGTTTATAGGAACGAGAGCAGATCCATGTTTGGATTCGCGGTTTCGGTGTACCGGGACAGGAACGGTCGAGGATGGTAAGTTTTTTCTTTATCGTGCATTCTGGTTTTTGTTCTTCAAGTGAATTATGGAATTTCGCATTTGCGCTCGGTATTGCAAATTGCATTGCATATGCATAAGATTTGGTGAATGAGAAGAAATGTGAGAAGTCTTATTCAAATTTTATTTGCAATTGAGTTTGACAAAAAGTTACATTTATCATGAGTAATGTGAAGAATTTTTATCTTGACTAGTATATTGTGTAATGTCTAGCTCATAAATAAGAATATTTCTTAATTTAAAATTGAAATAAAATGAAAAAAGTTGAACAGAAATATGCTGCAATTCAGTATTGCATTTGCAATGGAGTTTGCTCAGCGCTAAGATAAATATTACATTTCGAAAGGTAATTTTTCAGTATGATATTGAGGTGACGATAACAGCAAGCTTGGTACAACTCCAATTTTCTTATGTGTTAGTCTTTTAAAAACACATAATTTGTAAACATGATTTCTTATCACTGAAACAGTCATTCCTTAATAAGAGCTTGGAGATTTAATTAACGTTTATCTTAAAAACATGTCAGTTTTGAAACAGTAAAAATGACAACTTCCGTTTATAAGGAAAAATACAAATATATATTTATAATGAAACTATCTATCTAAATTCTAAATGACTTAATACGCTATCGATCACTAGGTGTGAACATTGATTTTTTAACAATACTATGTGTAAATTGATGACACAGAATATTCCAAGAAAAGGAAGGGTGTATCAAACTGTTCATAGTATTTACTATCAAACATGAATTAAAACCACAAGAGCAACGCAGAAGAAATCAAGTACCAAAATGACGAATGCCGAAATTGGTCATCACAGTAATTAAGGATTCTTGGTATCTGCTTTTTTGGTCACCGGTGACCTACACGATTCCAGCAATATGTGTGATTGCCGAAGAATCGACGGGTCTGAATCATCGTTATTCAAAATTGCTCATTTGAGTCATACGTGTCCTGTGTCGATGAAGAAATGTAATTCCGCTGACGGAAGAAACTAGCTACGTAAGTGTTATTTCCGTAAGCGTATTTCATTCACTTCGAAATGAGGAATAACTTAAAATTGTACTACGACGATTCGCAACAATCTTCCATTGTTAAAAATTCGTTGATCTTTTCATCATGCCAAAAATAATGAAAAATAATTATAAAACTTTGAATTTTTCAAAAGTGTACCAGAAAATTTGGACTTGAGGGTTCAGGTACTCTAAGTGGCTGGTACTCCTACGAGTTAGGACGACCACGCTCTCCTTTTAAGTCCTCGTCCCAGAAAGTAAACAGCAAGTGGCTTCTACCGTTTCATCGCGTTGGTTGCCACTTCGATAATGAAATATCAGCTTTCATTTGCCCACGACCACTGTGAAATGCTGTAATTTCTTCTTTTGCAAACGCATGCAACTAATGTGACGTTTGGTTCAATCTACGCTTTCCTGTTCAAATTGCGATTCAAATTGAGTCGTGTTTGTTGAACGCGTAACACGAAATAATAGCGTCGTTGTGGTTAATTTTCTCTTGCGTTTAGAGGCGTCGTTAAATTAATTATGCGTCTATAAGAGGATAGTCGAGCCTTGGAAGCAGCGACAGGTTTCGTGCCTGGAATTTTATTTACAAAAATATAAAATTCTGGCAGAATCTTGAAAAATAAAAATTCATTCGCCAAACATCTCATGTGGAATATTTAGATAATCCTTTAATGAAGTAATTTTAACTGTAATCAAATTATGTTGATAAGCTATTATACAATTAGAGAGATTGAAGCAATCAAGTTCTTTTTAAACCTTTTTTTCCTATCTACCACTCAGTTATAATTACGCAATTATTTCATTTAACAATCTTTATCAGCTTTATCTGACGGATAGATAAAAGTTCTTCTGACGGAAGTATTTCTGTCTTCCTTAGTTAAGCTTGGATTTTCATTAAGCTCTTGATCAGTAGCATTCGTGCGAGCTTCAGATAGAAATAGAAAAGTATATTTTCGTAAATACAAAAGTTTTGATTTATCGAGGGTTAAGGGAGATGCACCTCATCCTTTCCATCAATTTCTTCTCGCATGGCAGGACGTATCAAGGCGGGTCTAATGACAGGTGCTTCGACGAGCTTAGAACCGTTCTCCTTTTATGTCTCCCTTCGGAACCAAGGCGAGTGGGTTCTCCCGTTTCATCGCAACTATTCTCTATGTGTCGATAAACTTTCATCTGTCATCGATAAATATGCTCGAACACCGTTCAATATATCTGTCAATCAATTGCTTCCTTACTCCATTTAATTACTTAATTAACACCTCGCCTTGCACATGAAAGAAACAGTATAGTTTTCATTAAAGGTCTCAATACAGGGGATTCTTATCCATAACAAGTGTTTCCATTATTTTCTTCAACCCCTGTACACTTTATATTGGTTCGATTCGAGAAAGAAGGTGCTCGTTCTCCTCGTGAGTCACGCCGGCCACGAATAAACGTTTCTGCTCCAGCTCCTCCGGCGACGACGGATATAAATAATGTCGACAGAACTAGGAAACGCGGGTAATGGCATCGGTTACGTAGCCGTTGATCCGCGGAAAAGTTTGCGCGAAAGGTCGACAAGGTCTAGCCGCGTAATTTATTCTAGCTACGGATATATCGAGGCTCTTGGATCGGACCGATAGAGACGCCACCGATTCTTGTTCGCTCGCTTTGACATTCAAATCGATGCCTTCTAACTTTTCTACCTACATGGACACGATCGGTCGTGATCTGGTTGTTCAGTTTGATCGCTGGATTGATTCATCCGATGGTTAAAGTTTGAATAATTGAAAGGATTTATGAAAATGATAAAAAATCGTCAAGGTATTAGATATTCATAATTAGGATTACGACGAGGGGTAGTTTCCTTAATCCGTTCTATTCTTTTTCTTCAGCAACGTACACCAGCTTTTGTCATTGTTTCCCCGAAAGACAATGGGCAAGGAGAATCTCGGGTAAAATACAGGATAAACCTTACTCGTATCCGGGATATCCAAAGCCGCAGGAAGTCCGGATTACATCGTTCGTTATGAGAAACTTCGTAGGCGCTTATATTTAGGCCAGCCTGTGGAAGCTTTACGAGCGTTCGTCCTCGTTAATCTAATGCGAGGCAAACGCACCCGATTGCCACTGTTACCAGTACGCTCTCGCATTAATTCTCGAAATAGAATTCGACAGTGGTTTGCGCGATTCATAGTGTATTTCAAAAATAGAGAACCGTAAACATTTATATATTCAAATTAATTAGATTGAGAATTTTATGACTTCATATTTTAATTTATTACACTTTGAAACGTGAAAATTTCCCAGATGTAACACGTCGAGCATCGGAGATTGAAATCGTCACTTTCCCTCTCGTTTTCTTAAGATCTTCCATGGACGAACAGGTCTACGTATTAAACCGTACGAGCAAACACGTTCGACAGATTCAGAGCACGAGGCACGCTGCGATACAGGATGTTAGGTCATCGTAGCTCCGTTACGTGGGCGGCTCTTCGCTCTCGCTGTGCTCTGATTAATACCTCGTTAATCTCCACGTTCGATCTACTATTTACACTACTACCTTTGCTGTTCTTCAATGAACCTACCTTCCCTTTCGACCTCCACCAATCGGCCCTTCCTGGAATTTGAAATTGTGATCCGACCTCCCGCTATGCTACTATGCATACCGTTGCAAGCGTCGTTGCACTCAGATGCAATCTAATCTGTGACCACATCAGACTGCACAGACATCTTCGACGAACGGTATTATCTTTCTTATATCTGGGTTAAACTGGAATGATTTTATCGCAGAAATATTATATATAATTGCTGGTTGATTATATAATTATTTGAATATTTATTATTTTAAGTCAAGATTTTCATGGTTTTACTTCCCATCTTATTCCACAAGTTCAACTTATTTTTTCGTATATTCATTTCGGTGACACCATCGTCAATTATGAGTCAGTCAGTTGAAAGCCTTTAAAAGGCGCGGGTTTACACAGCCACGCGAACGAAGGAATAAGAGAGAAGACGAAGCAGTCAGGTACTAATCGAGGCATGACGTCTGATTGCAGCTTCTCGATGACTCGTTCTTTTCCCGGATTTGATTACTCGCGCCGAAACCGGCGAGTCAGAGCGAGCGCTAAATATAAAAATTATTTCACGAGCCGAAGACGGCACCGCGACGATAAAACTACGATTACAGCCGTCCATACGAGCGACGCTCTATAGATAAGACTGTCTTGTTTGCTCGTAGAATTAATTATTCAAGAGATATTACTAACGTTTGTTGACGAACGTTTCTACGAAGTGAAACTAGTTTCTCTTTGTCTATTTACTTTCTAATATAAACGATTAGACTTTTCGCTGAAAGTTCTGAGAAACATGTGCTTCTTATCAGTGATAAGACATTGCCATAGTTTGCGAATTGTCGTTTATTTCTCAATTTCAGAGCAAACTTATCGGTTGATAGCTGAATACGGAAACCATGATATCTTTGTAGTTTCATAACGAAGAGAATTACTTAAAATTCACATCAGAAATTAGTATTGGAAGATTTTTCATAAATATTTTCTTTGTATAATTTTGCAAATGTTTCATAGTATTCCTTTGAAACTGGTGCTTACGGAGCGTGTCGGTGGAAGAGGAAACGAGTATTCAATTTTCTCGTTTCCGGTCGGCGAAACGAAACAAAGTTAGGGTGGATCGACGTTTATCGGTTGTTCGCTTTCCGCTTTTAAGTATTTGTCACGAACAGTAAACGTTCGTTTTCTGACGCTAAACTTTTCTTTTATCTTTCATTACTTTACTTTTATTTTTCAATGTTGATTAAAATGCAATGCCTCCTGCCTCGAAAGGGTTAATTTTTCGAAACCTTAGATTCAAACGGTAGCCGCGATTGTTCTTTGAAGAGTACAAGAGTAATTCCAAGACATCGCGTTATTCATCGCTTTTTATTCCTCCATGGGTCTTCGCCGCCCACCTTTGCGTGCCTGG